CTGAGAATCTTCACCAGCATATTTCCTTAGACCAGCCTTCATCATCTTCATCCTCCTCCACCTGCTGGAAGTACTACATGTATTACATGGATTTTATTTTGTATTTATCTCAGATTTCATTGAAGACTTTAATCATTTTCTCTTTACCGCGTGAAACACAAAAGCTAATTGTGAAAAGAGCTTTCATTCTGTATTTGTCACCTTTAATATTAGTATATTGATGTGAATAATAAACCAAAGTATTCCTAATCTTGGTTCGTTGTTAATACATGAAAAACTGAAATGTTAAATAAATTAGAACATTCCACCTGAAAGTATTACTTCTGCCATGGTCTGTATTAGAGAGGAAAAATGGCAGCGGTGGCCAGTGATTGACCATGGCCACCCCTGCCCTCCCATCTAGATCCGCCCCTGAATAGGTTGAGAGCTGAGATACATGTGAGGTTGACAAATGTCAAATATGTGGCAAAAACGAGGAAAAAAATCAGGTATAAATGCAACTAATATCTCCCATTTTGCATTAAGGAATGAATGTATGATGACTAACGAGATAAAACAACTCTGTGTATTCAGATAGATAGAGCTCAGCTCAGGATTACTGTATGGTTCATACAAAAAGATGACAGAAAATTAAATGAATACAAATCAAAACATTTACACCCATTAATTTTTTTATCCTGAACATGTAAAAGAAACCCATAAAATTAAATCCTTACATTTAGTTTAACTGTTTGGTGCTTTGAATCTGAATTATTCCCCAACATTTATTTCACATAAAACCTTTCTTAAAGGAGGCAGATAGATGACGTTTCTATGTAGTCTGGAAAAGTAATGGATTCAGTTTGAACCTGCTGGTGAAGATTCTCAGTCATCCGGGTCACTGTCATTACAAAAGAGTTATAAAACAATCTACTGGACTTTGTTTCAAAGTTTGAAGATGTTTCGCTTCCCATCCAAGAAGATTTTTCAATTCAAAATGTCAGAAATAGCGTTGAATTCGAGGCTTTATAGATTGGACCAAAAACAAAGACTTGTTTTGGTTTAGAAAGCATGCAAATTGAACCGGATGAAGGTCTAATCCTTTGGGATGGGGAGTCATTTAAGGGCAAACAAAAAACCCAAACCTGGTCTATGCCTCTTGCAGAGGCATAGCCGGATATTGCAGGCTAACAAAGAACATACCGGTAATATACAAAGAGAACCATGAGACAATCCGGCACATAACTGCAGGGAAAGATGCAATGAGCGCCATAACCAAAAGGCTGGAATAGTGTACAGGAACATCTGTGCAGAGTGCGGGCTGGAAACTGCAAGGTCAAAGTGGGAAACACCTCCAAAGGTGGTAGAGAATGATCAAGCCAAGATCCTTTGGGATGTCCAGATACAGACGGACTGTATGGTAATGGCAAAGCAACCTGACATTGTGGCAGAGGAAAGCCGTTGTGGTTGACATATCGATAAGTGACTGCAACATCAGGAAAAAGGAACGTGAGAAACTAGAGAAATACCAGGTGTTGAAAGAAGAGCTGGAGAAAACCTGGAAGGTCAAGGCATCAGTGGTACCTGTGGTCATGGGGCCCTCGAGGCAGTGACCCCCAAACTGGAGGAGTGGTTACAGCAGCTTCCTGGAAATGCATCAGACATCTAATTCCATAGGAGTGCAGTTCTAGAAACAGCTGAGATGCTGGCAGAACCCTCAAGCTCCCATATATATATA